TGTATAGTAAAAAAAAAAGTTTTTGTTTGTTTCCTTGTCTTGAAAAAGATTAAACTAATTAAGCTGTGCATTTACTGCCCTCTCGTGGTTATAAGGATTTACAGTTTCACTGAGAGAAAAAAACAGAATTGTACTTAAATGTTTGATTGTTACATACGGTGCCTATGGGAAAATACATATAAACTGACAAAATTCTTATTTCTATTATAAATAATATTATTTTGTATTGTTAAATGCTTTGTCTGTGTCTTTTCAGATGGTTCTAAAATTAGCTGGTACTCTTTTTACAGTTCTGCATTTTGACCACCAGAGTGTAGTAGAGAGTTGGATTCATTTCAGTTTTTACACAGTTTAGTTATCTTCTGCTGCACTTGTATAACTGTTTGAAGTTGTTGTAATAAATGTACCTAGATGAATAAGTGTCCTTGACGGATGATAGATATTCCACTCATTTGCTCGAAACACCAGTGTTTAAAGRTATTTTCTTTTCTTTTATGTTGAGTTGTGTTTTTTATATATCATTTATATTACGTCTGATTTAATCATCTTTGATMATTTCAACCCACGCAGGGTCTTTTTGTTTCGGTGGTAATAACAAAATGAAAGACAGCACTTGAGTAGCCAATGGGAACGCGACTAGCCGTTGATTGACAATCACGCTGACCAATAGTATGAGCCTGAACATCATGTTTACAACAACCCATTTTTTCCGTACAAGGCGACTGTTTTGGTGAGTTAAGAAAAGTTCATTGAAATTATTAACAGGATTTAAAGCGTCGTTACTTCTCTTTAATCTCTACGTGGTAGTGGAAACATAAAGCTGACAGCGTTGTATTTTCGCTGTAAAGGCAGTTTCGCAGCTCGCTCTCCTGATACTTCGTTGACGTTGTTTTGTTGTCATGTCTTTTTGCGCAACAGGATGTTTCTGCCATTTAATGACATTTCCACACTCTAATACTTATTCTTAACACTAMGCCGTGCATTATAAATCAGACTTTAACGCKTTGGGGCGTTTTTACTRACATAAAACGTGTTTTTAAAAGTACTTCTTGTAATTTCGTGACACTACTTCCTTTGGGGAAAAAAACGTAAAAAAAATACGTCGACAGGTGTTGTGTTTAAAGACAGTCGACAGTTACACATTGTTCCCCTCGTTTTAGGTGATTACCTTTGAGTTTAGTGGAGTTTGACTCCCTACGTTTTAACTGAATAATCGCTGTCCTCAGTATTGAATGAATGGAGCTTTTGTGCGCATGCGCGYTGGCCGAAATGTTTATAAACAAGACTTGGTCACATGATTAATAATTATGAAACGGTGAGAGGAAAACGGGTTTTTTACCGTCGTGCTTGTATTTGAAATTGAGAAATTAAGGGATTTTCTTCCCGATCAACCCCATAATGAGTTGTGATAAAAAAGTGTTTAATATTACTGCGTCAGCTTTCTTCAATCCATACATCTCAGCTAACTGAAATGGGTGACGTCATGTTAATGCAAGTGACCACTTTAAGCCTTATCTCAAAGTAAAATTAAGCCAAATAACTCGTTAAAATATAATTGTTAAATATGTAATTCAAAAAATATGCACATATTTGTTTCAGATAATGGACATCATGGTGTGGGAGGTGGTAAAACCAGCTATGCTGTCAAAAGACCCTAAAAAGCACAACATACAGGAAGATGAGCAGATGGAACATATAGGTAACAAATCATTTTGTTGTTCAAATAATGCTTTAGGGTTGTTTACTGCTTGATATTGTATGGTTAATTTTACATTTATCGACATGTACTTTTTTTTGTACGTGTGGTGGGCCCTGTAATTTACACCTAGGCCTTCAATTGGGAGAGAACGGACACGCTGCTGACTGCGGAGCCTGCAGCGGCAGAAAGAGCAGGGAGGGAGAGGCTGCCAGCTCTGAACGTAATGAGTTTATAATAAATTAAAAAAATCTATAAGACTGTCCTATAGGTCTGTATGCAAAACGGGGCAAAACTGTCTAATTTACAAACAATCTGTACAACTTGACACAAAGCCACGGCTACAAAAACCACCAATAATACACAGAAACACAGAACAATATGCTGCTGCATCACAGACTGTGTCTCAGCATGCCATTAGACAGATGTCTCTGACCCTCAGACAGGTGTCTCATGAAGCCAGAATAAAAGTCATCAATAAAGCGACATATTTAACATGTTATCTCAACTGCAGCCACAGCTTTGCCATACATTAACAACAGCATCAATACAGCTATATAATAAGCTGACAACTAAATAAAATATTTAGCTAACTCACCAAAACTTTTTATTATCTGTTTAAAAACTCCWTCCTTTTATTCTTCAAGAAAATCCGGCTCCTCTGTCATACAGGTCCTCATGGCATTTYGTTTGAACAATAAGTCCTTTTCTATCACCACCATGAAGCTAACACTGAAAGTCCAGTCTGCTCTGTTCTGTATTTTTGTTATAGGTTTTAATTTTCTGTAACTCTGAGAATGTCCACTCAGCATTTTGYTTATAAGTAGGCCTGTCACGATAACAAATTTTGCTGAGCGATTAATTGTCTCAAAAATTATTGCGATAAGTGATAATATTGTCTGGTGACCATTTTAAAACCAATAATGATAAAAGCGTAATATGTAAGTACATCCTCTCAATTATCAATAAACTTGAATTTTTAAAGAATGTTTAACAAAATGGACTCTCAGTCTAACAAAAAATGCACTTGATTAAAAAAAAAACAAAGAACAACAAAATGGAAATTAAACACCACACACAACTGAAACAGTAAATAAACAATATTAAAGAGCAGCATCTCTTTAGAGATGAAGTGAACTACACAGCCTGGTGAGGACCCACTGTTTCTTATGGGGAGATAAGCCCAGTTCACATCCTAAGTAAAGTTTAGGGTCAAATAGGTAATAGAAAATACTGGTAAATGAATGGAAGTCAATGCAAAGTCCCCATGAGGATAGAAGGGGGGGGGTGTTTGTTAAAACACAGATGGTGCGTTTAGGTTTCCTGTTGTTTTTTGGGATCTCCAGGTACAGTCTCAAAGATTTTGATGAGTCTGTCACAGCGGGTCTGTCTGCCTCGCTCATGGAGGTACAGAGGCGGGGGAGTTTCAGCCCCCACCCCTTCCCTTTCTCTCTCTCTTTCCGTGTCTTCTGAACAGAAGGTGGTCAAATTCTGTACTAGTTGTCATCTAAAAATAGTCCGATGCAAACTCCCACATAATTACACATCGCTGGAATTTATTCTAAGTGGGAGCTTCCCGCATTATAAAAATTAGATTTGCGGGAATCAATCATAATATGTGCAATCCCCGCAGCGAATTTCAGGCTCTGCAAGTACTCCGACACTGCAGCAGCTGCGTTCTGCTTTGAAACCAATTCCATCTCCATTTTTCAGAATCCCATCAACGTTTCTTTTGTTTGTCATTGCTACCATTGCTACGAGCTCTCATGCTAAAGGAGTACGAGACCGCGCACGAGTTCACTCCTCCCACACAAGGAAAAACGGAGGGGAGGTGTCAGCTGAGCCCCCTGTGCAGCGGAGCACAGAGAGGGAGAGAGATGAAGTAAACGAGCAAGMCGGAAAATGAAAGTTATYGTCCTCATTTTTTTAATCGACCTCAAAATAATCTATTGTGCAATTAATTGATTTATTGACTATCACAACAGGCCTACTTATAAGACGCTACTGAAATCTAGTTTCCCGGTTCTGTATCGTCTGCTCTCTGATCAGCCAATCAAACGATGAGAAAATGTTGATGCTGTCTGAAGCCAGCTCGCAGGCTCTGGTGTCTTCACCTCAGCACCTGATTGGTCAAAGCAACACTATCGCTGCCATGTGTTTCACCGTCCCGGTGCCTTCGCTGCTCGTTCTGAAGGCCTGAGGCAGATTTGTGGACCCAACAGATGATTATCAAAATATGATTGGATAAAAGCTCTAAATAAATACAAGCTAAACTAAGAAAAACTATGAAACGAAGAGAACAGATCTTTCAAAAATAATTATATAATAATAATATTAATAACTATTATAATTAATATAAAACATTCTATAATGTAGTGATTCTGATTGTGTTTAGGCCAGCAGAGAAGGCTTTCCTGGCCCTGATGGCAGACTAGGGTTGGGCGATATTGGCAATAAAATTAATTTTGATTAATTGTGGTGTTTAGCCGACAATGATTAATTTGACGATTAATCCCCTGGAGTCCCTGGACACCCTTATGTCC